ATTAAGATTTACACAGTAATTTGGGAAATTGCTGCTGAATTAAGACAAAAAGATGAGGATTCAGGACTCTCTCCCACCACATAGCGAATACGTACAACAGTTTCTGGAAATGACTGGGAGGGTAACTATAAAGAGGTAGAAGTCAGCTCTGGAAATGAGTTTCTGTGTTGTTTGGCTGGGTTTCAAAGGATCTGGTTGTTTTAATACTGTAGGTATTAAACTGTTCTGTTAATGATGTGTTAAGGCAGTCATGGATTTACCAGAGGTTCTAGGCAGATCAAAGCGACATCTTCCCCAGTGAGCACACAGCCTTATATAGACATCACTTAGTTATGATTTAGAACATTCTAACTGCTTTCTAGAGCTAGATGAATTACTCAATTGTCCTTTTCTCACACATTATTTTTGCCGGAAGGATGACTGTTGGAATGTTTCATTGCAAATTCTCCATATTTTTTTACTCTTTGGTTACCTACACTGACTCAGGTTGCACTATCCTCTATGGCCAAGAGGTTTTGACTCACCTCTTCAGAAGGAGTAGCCTTTCTGGATGTGGTTTTAACCAGTTGCAAAAATAAGGCCCAAAGCCTACTTGCTGTTCCACTGAAAGACAGGATGGGTTTGGGCTTTTGAGCCTGCAACATCACTAGCAAAAATTTACTGAAGGCAACAATCCTGTATTGAAATGACAGATTGCAGGCTATCAATGATCCTCTACAGATGTTATTAGAAAATCACATGGATACACAGAATGAAAAAGCAAAATGGATTTATCTTTATTGGTCAAGTTCTTAGTAACTGTGAATGTGGTTGGTTTAACTGTATGCTCAAGCATGAAATCTGCCCATGCTAATTCTTAGGTTAGCAGGATTATTTATCTTGCAATATTAAGAGACAGATTCTCAGTAACAGCAAATCTGCACTCTCTTTTAAAGAAGAGGCCACAAGCAGGAAGGCAGGTTTCTCATGTGCATAGTTGTAGACTGGCATTTGGTATCTGTCCTTGTCCCAGGTGTATCACTACTTTGCTGGGTAACCATGGAAAAGGCATTCCCTTGTCTTCACAGCTTACTCCTCAGAAAAATATTAATAATAGTGTCAGGCTTCTCTGGAAAGAACTTTGAAATCTATGGGTGGAGACCACTGTGTAAGTACAGGCTATTGCTGGTAATTTATTTCTTTATTGTTCAGTTGTATGGATACTGGCCTACTTTTATGCACTGCTGCATCACTGCAGTGATCACAATACAGATTAAACTCTTGGCATCTAAAGTACTTTTCTTGCATTCACTGCCCAAACTCTTGTTTCAAATTTCCTGTCTCCTGCATCTCACAGGTGCAAGATCCATCACAGACTCCTGGCAATTCTAGAGCTGGACCCACCTGCCTAAGTCCTGCATACCTCAGTCCCCCACCTTCTCTGTCATGGGTGCTTCCTTTCTCCTTCCCAGACTCCATTATGTAACATGAGCAACTCACAAGAGGATTGACTCCTGGGTAGTGCCACCTGGTAAGGAGGGCAGCATCCAGTGCACCACCTGTACCATGCCAGTCGAGATAATAACATCTTCCTCCTGCTTCCTAACTCTCTCTGTTGAGGGCTGCCACACACTGGTAATAAAAAAACAACCAACCAAACAAAAAAAAATAGCAAAACATCAATGCATTTTCTTGTCTGGAAGCACAGCATCTGATAAGGATATGCATGACTTCAAGCTGTTGACAGCAAATTGGATGAACGCTGCTTTGCACAGATGTCCAAGCAAGCAGTCACTGCATCAGATTTTGTTCCCCACCCCATGAGGAAAGATTTTCAAAAGAAGGAGCATTCTGGAATCCAATAAGATTCACAGCCACCACCACTGAATTTAAAGAGGATGGTTTGTTTAACTGGCTAGCATTACATCTGTGTAACTGTGTGGGGGGCAGCTGTCCCAAAGATGACTGCTTCAGTAAATTTGTGAGAAACCTTGCAATTTTAGGATGAAGACAATCTGGTTTAGCTGAAAATAAAATTTAAACAAAACATAAAATGAGGCCTTGAAATTCCCACAGGAAATAATACTTTGTGGGCTCCAAACCTATGTAATAATTGGTGACAGTTTCATTATGTTTTTCCCCAATGTTTGGTCTCCCTTTTCAACTACTACCATTCATATGATACAGTTCAGTCACTACCAACAGAAGATTAATTAAAGTTCTGATCCAAAAATCAAATATTCCACCATATCTTTATTAACTCCCAAGCCACTTCCTTTCACTTCTTTTTATTTTAATCTTTTTTCACCCCTGCATCAACACTGCCTTCATAACTGAGTTTACTAACCCAGCTATTTACATTTTCTTGATTCATAATACATCATTACAACAGAGTTATTCTTGGTGGTAGGTCTGTGCTGCCCTCCTCCCTATTTTTTTTTTTTAATCAAAACAATTCTTTGCCATAGCAACTTTTCTTGGCTACCCACCCATTCCAATAACTTGCAAGCAGCAAACACTTGACAACACTGATCAGACTACATTGTCCTCATGCCAAATTGAAAGGCAACCCCTCCCTGGAACAGTAAATGCAGTCACAAAGTTGCAGGATGAAGCTGTTGCAGGTCTCTCAGAAAGCTCGTATTCTTTAGAAAGTTATTGAATGCTAAGAAGCTTGCTGTGCCAATACTTTCGGAACTTTAGAAGTAACTCAAGGGAGCAACTCCTCCCTAAGCCTTTTAATTTATGACAGAAAAGGAAGAGCTATAAAAGCTAACAAACTTTTTATAAAACTAATAAAGAAAAAAAAATGTTCAACTCAAGTATCAGACATGGAACAAAAGGTGCCAAAATCATGCTGATCCAACTTCTAACAATACTTAAGTCACTGCCAGTTTGACATGATACTTGAAAGAGCCAACTTTTTCATAAGGGTTGTAATTGTACCTATCTAATCACAACTTCCCAATTACACATCCTATAAAAATACCACAATACTATGTTTTCCTTCAAAAGTTTTCTCCCTAAATTTCCTCCATGATTTAAAGCTACCAATATTCTGGTAAGTAAACAGATTTAGGTTTCCATACTGCAAAACTTAAAAAAAACCCCACACCTAACTACAAGAAAAGGAGCTTCTCTTGTTATGGAATGACTTGAAAATTGTTGAGAATTATTCATTATATTTATCCTATCACATTAAGAAATAACACTGAGAGTCCCAGTATGCTATTTCATACTTCCAAATCAGCATGTGCAAAATACAAAACAGTTTTCAATTGCTTTTATACTAAACCCCTAATATTTTCCAATTTATTTTTGGTCAAAATGCTATAATTAGTGTCTGATTACAAACCATCAACTTAAAGAAATTACCTGCAGTTGGTAGAGTTGGGTTAAGCTAAAAAATGTCCATTAAAAGTGGGAGATTTTGAAGAAGGAAGAGCTACAATCTAAGCATAATAAACAGTATCACCACACAAAAATTAAAGCATCCCATAAATTATATGGCCATAAAACGTTGTAGATTTGTTTGGGTTTTTTTATTGGTACGTTCTCAGTGATAACATTCATTCCCTAGTTTTCCTGAAAATTGCCATGCTGTTGTAAATCTTTCAAGGTTCAGTTCCTAGTCTTGTTGCCAGAGATTTGCATGCAGAGATGAAGATGGATGATGCAGCAGTGGTACAGACATAGTCAAAAGATATGCAGCAGTCACGTTCCTTCTTTTTGGAATAACATAGCTCTTATTGCTTAGGCCCACTCCTGGGGCATTTGCTCTCTCCAAAGCCATGTGAAACAACAGTAGGTTCATCTCTGCTTCTGAAATGAGCCTTTCCATCTCTGCTCTTTCCTACAATTTATCCGGGCATCTTTCCTGAGTCCCTGCCTTACTGAGTTCCAGACTTCCCTCTTTTTATATATTCATCACCTCAGCTGACAATTTTAGCTGCTCCATTAAACTTGTCAAGCTTTTCAGGGCATATCTTCCCAATGCTTTCAAATGCAGCTCTCTAATACTGACAGTTCACCTGGTTCAGGAAAATTTCTGGTTTCACCTTTACTTCCTTTACTTAGATCCCCACCGAGATGTGTGAGAAAGTGCTTCTACAGGGCCTGTCCTAAGGTTCTCCAAGTCTCACCCCCCAAATTCATTTTCCCAGCAGGAAGCACAACCATGTGCTACTACTAAACATGCCCTCTATCATTTGGATTTTTTTCTTCTGTGTAGCCCATGAATCTACCTCTGCCATTCTGTTTGTATTACTAATATAGGCCACCTACCCGTTCTTCTTTGGCAACCTACATCCTCTCCTATTCCTGAAATAGATAAAATTATCTTCTTTCCTCCTGTCACAGAGAAAAACTGCTCAGCGCTTAACAAAGTGTTTTACTGATTTGTTAATGACATAATTAACTGGTAATCAGTGAATCCATACATTCATGACCACTATCAAGGGTAAAACAGACAAGCCATAATACTATATACTTAGGAAATGCTAATAAACACCCACAAGCTTCTAAACTACCTTTTATGAGTAATCCCAAGAAGTCCCATTCTCCCCTACACACAGTTACACACTCATGCACATACACACGCAGAGACACATAGAGTGGAAGTATGGGTTACAAGCTCTCCTTTCCTGGGAACCTTGCTTCCCCTGCTTGCAGAAACCTCCCAAGGAAGATGTGGGTGCTGTCACTTCATGTGTGTGCTCCCTACAATCCATTAATGCATGCACTGACAAAGAAGACCCCAGACGCACATATATAGATGCACAACCTGCACACAAGCCTCTGGTTGATGCACACCATGCCATTGGGCTCCCGGCTGGGCGCAGGCTACCCAAAGCTCTGATCAAGAAGCTGCATTGCCTGTCCTGCACAAAGGTCATGGTGCCCACAGGGTGACTTCTAGCAGCATCAAATCAGGCTATGGCAGTTGCTGTTTCCTCCTGAAGGTCTCTACCATCCTCTTCAAGGTCTCTCAAACAGAAGATTACCATGATTATGTTTTATAGCTTTTCAGGCTGACTATGTTTCAAAAGTCTCTCTGTAAATCCCAGATGGTCGTATCGGAGTAGACATCCTAGCAGGTTTGAGTACTCCATACATATCATCACTCTTCCTTATCTTAGAGGTGTTTTTATCCAGGCCAGTTGCCAAAGCTGGGCCATGTGAGTGCCCTACACCTTCCAGGCAGCTGTTCAGTGTAACTGTTGTTATTCGGTTGTTGTTGTTATTGTTATTATTGTATTCTTGTTATTATTAAAAGTCCTATTAAAACCTTCATACAGATATACATCTCTTTTTGACTATTCTTTCACTGAATAATCTTAATGCCTGAATTATTACACCAGGCTCATGTTTAAGCTATTGCCCCCTTTGCAGCCTAGAAAAGTTAGCTTGCCTGTTTTTTCCTCAATTCACAGCCTTGCATTTTTTACCCTTCTCGATGTAAATGTGAGAGCTGCAAGGACAATAGCAACAACCAATTCAGATGGCCACAAAAACAGAAACAGGCTTCAGTCTGTAACCCATCTAAACTCAGTGCAAAGACCCAAATCCGTCAAATCAGAAACTTGCTAGAATTCAGAGCTTGTCAACATTTTTGTGAACTGATCCAAAATGTGAATGCTAGCTGATTCATTTCAAACTGCTTTAGACAGTCCAAGTTTTTTTTGGAGTTGTTTTTTTCTCAGAATGACAATAGAGTATTTTTTAAGCATTATTACCAGAAGCCTGCTATATTTATCATAGGCTGAGAAATAAAAAACCTAGAGAGACCTTGCTTTGGTTTTGGTAAATCTTATTTTGTTTGCACTTGCTGCTCCTTTCTTGGTTTGTCGTTATTACTTGTTTCAAGCAACCAGTGATATAAGGCCATTTGAACTCTATGTCATGGAAGTGGTTATATTTTATCATATGTATTATGCCCTCCAATCAATCCAGAATTTCATCTCTGTTCCAGCCTCTTCTCTGACCTGAGATACTCTACATACTTACAGACCTCTCACAAAAATCAAAGGCTTAGGCTTCAACAAAGAAAGCTTCTCTATTTTACCTTCCATGTCTGAAATTTTGTCCAAGAAAAAAATACCACCTTACATTGTAATCAAGCCAGAATTTTATAAATACATGAGGTATTCCTTTCAGATATCAAAACTTGCTTAGTATGCAGCTACTGATTCCTAACTTTAATAATGGAAGATGCTCTGAACTGCTAATGCTATTCCCAGATTATTTGTGAATCTATTAAAACAGGCCTAAAATTATGTTCATCCAGAAAGTAAAAAAGTAATTAGCTCACCAGGACTTTGCTGCAGCACTTCCTGTTTGAAATATTTGCACTGTAGTTCTGTACCTTGCTGATTCACAGTTTCATTCCCACAGTTCCATGCCTGTCTTTTGTATCTTATTTTCTCTGTGTGATGTCCTAAATTGCACTTGAAGCCTTGCTTCAGAATTTTTTCTAATTAAAGTTAATTTGTTTATTTTGGCACTTCATAATTTTTCTAGTTGTCTTTATACTTTCACTAATACATTTAAACACAGCTAAACAGGATTCCATCATGCATTCTAGATGGCAAAGAGAGATCATATCCTATCAGATGAACATTCCTGCTTCTGGAGAGAAAGTACAAATGATTCAGATTTCTTTCAGAAATTGGTTTTATCAGTCCTAAAAAAAAATCAATATTAATTAACAGTCCCCACGTAAAATGCACATGGAAGATGGTGTTACTGGATTAACCGTGTTTCTTTCTCTGGCCTATTGTGTGCTATTTTTTTTTTCATGCACATCAGATTTAACCCACTGCCAATGTTCCTTTGTTGTGCTGCAAAACATCTCTTGCATGGAAAGAACAACATTTCTCCTATTATTCTCATGTTCATAATTATAGCTTCCTTTATATTGAAGTTACTGTTCCTCCAGATACCTTTGAGCTGGTCTGCCGTGAGGGTACCCAGCTGCATTACACCAGACTGGCAACCCACTGCCCCAACAGCCACAGATCTGAAGTTTTTTTGCACACACAGAAGGCCCCTGCACTGCCAGCTCTAGCTGTTGAAAAGGGATAGTCTGGGAACTCTCAGCTTTCTGAGAAGCAGCATTGTTTACCTGAACATGATCTCTAGAAGTCAAAGAAAAGAGTAAAAAATAACAAGCTGATTAGAATGCGTGAATCTAACATTCAAGAGAAGTTCTTGCTTCAGAGTTTTGGTCTTTTCTTGTAGTACAGTTCCAAGGACCCTTCTCCCTCCTCAGTTTCAGCCCATCCAAAAGACATGCAGACATTACATTTCCCAGCAATAGGCCCTGTCCCATTCCTCTATTTTATCAGTGACTCTTATCAATGCCCACCACCAAATAGTATCTGATATCCTAGTCTCCTTAATGGGAAGATTTTTTCTCACCATCTATTCAGCAATATGTTCTCTCTTCCAACTGGCACAAACATTCAGTGGGCAAAAAATCTGGCAGTGATCTTTCCAAATTCCACCATAACATAATCTCCATTCACTTGATAGGCTGAAATGAGATGCTTTACACAGTAAATATTATTATGTTTGTAGGCTCTGTTTGTGGTTTTCTTATTTCAGTGAAAAGAAAAACAGCTGAGAACAGTAATTGAAAAGAGAGCTGCAAAGCACCACACATTGATATAAAATTATAAGAACTAAACAATTAAGCTTCTGTAATAGTAAACGTCTTTCTATCCTATTAAAATTCTCTGGAAGAATTAATACAATGGTAGATGAAAGCACACTGATGGATACAATTTATTTGTTCCTTATGAAGACTTTTAAACCCCCAAATCTTCTAGAAGTGGCTCATAACAATACTTGGAAATCATATACGCCCGATTGTGCATCCGAATCAGAGTTTTAGTTCAAATTGCCCCACTTTCTGTGCTTTGGGTTACATTGTGGAGTCGCCTCGGAATGCACAAACAGGTTTCTTTCCAGACAGAGCTAAAACAGAAGATGCAGGCCTAAAGCAGACCCGTCACACTTCAAATGCTGACAGGTGTTCAACCTCCAGACTGTATCAGAAGAGATCTAGCTGAGTACAAACCCTCAAAATGCACAAAACATCTACATGAGGAACTGCAACTGTTTTGGTATACAGACTTGCTCCTCCTGAGCTGCTGTGCTAGCTGATGCAGACCTAGCCTGGGGGTCACTTTCACCATGTGAAAGTTACTATACCAACCTATCTATCATAAGTTGTCATACCCTTTTAGGGCATATAAAAATTAACCTCGTAACTAATCAACTGCTTCTGAAAATCCCTTAGAGCAACTTACTATAGGGGGAGAACTGAAATGTGTTGGGGAGGTTGCTGTAAGGAAGCTGGTGGTGGGAAAAGACGAAGGCAGCTCAATGCACCAGCAGAGTGAAAGGACCTAAAGGCAGCTCATGGACAGTGGAGCAGATGGTGGGGCTGAGAAGATCTGGACATACCCTGGGACACGAGGGTCAAACTGAGATGGAACAGTGGAGCTTTTTTCAGGTGTGTATGAAATAGGGATTAGTGCTGCTTGTCTGTTGGCAAACTCTCACTCCCTTCTCAGCCACACAGCAGAGGAGGAGACAGGAATTTGTTGTTTATGCAGCACACACTCCTCTTACAAACAACCCTCGTGCCCTTTGGCATAGGCAAAGCTGTTGGCTCTGCTACCGCTGGCTACTGCCTACTCTGCCTGCACAGCAAGTTGGCCCTGTCTGTCTTGTGTGACACTGGCCAAAGAATGAGGGTCTTCACTGGTGCACCAGTTTACAAGTTGCCTCGCCAGCTTCACTCACTGAGACAGGCTCAGATGGTGCCTGTTACAATTCATCTATGTCTCCAGACATATCCTCTACAGTCTATATTTCTAATATTCTAACCAGGCTAATTGCAAGTATCGCAAAGGATGAGTGTCCTCAGATACTTCACAGCAGTCAGGTCATTCCTAGCAGCCAGTGTAAAATTGGAGAAAAATGCATGTAAGATCAACAAAGTCACCGAATGTCCCTGAGACCAGGCTCTTCTTCTCATTCTCATATTGAGACCCTCCACAGGCTACCTGATATCCTCACACATCTTTGGAATTTAAATCTATGAACTTACGTTTCTCTTCATCTGTTCTCAGCAAAACAACATGTTCTCAAGACTACAGACTTATCTTAAAACAGTTCCCAAGTATTTTGCAACTCTTTGGGTGTCCTCTATCTAGCAGTGCATCCTGGCCAGCAATCTAAAAACAGAACTCCAGGTACTGTTTGCACTGGCACTTTTCTGCAGCTCTCTTCTTCCCCTCTGATGCAGCTTCTCTGCGTACAGCATCAAATTGCAATGTCCTTTCTCTACTGCCATATTGTATTGCAGTCATATGAACTTGCTATCTACGTTTAGGCCTGATTCAGTATTCCCTTAGAGGTTAGCATTAATAACCATCATCATCCTTTTCAATATTAGTTCTCCATAACAGACTTCACCAACTGCCTACATGTATAATAGATCTTTGGATCCCAGACTCATCACTCTGTGCTTATTCATAGAAAACATTTTGAATACTCTCTCACTGCTTAGAGAGAGAAACAGCAGTTGGAACAGACCTGTAAAAAACAAGCGAATTAATTTGTTTTGAGGCAAACAACCAAGAAGCTTGTCTGAGTGGCCCATGTCAGCATCTTTTGGGCATTTCCTCCACTTTGAGGTACTGTGACATCAATTATTTTTTATTTATTGAATATCTTGAAAAATCAAGGTTTAATTCCAGCAGCAGTTATTTCAGCAGTGTTGCTTCAGTGAAAACAAAGGCAGAATTTGCACCCAGGGTGCTGCGTTTCACCCGGTGTCTGAGGTCACCACATACTTTCTCTCTCTTGCTTTCTCTTTATTTTTAATGTCTTCTCTTGCTGCTTTTTACTGAGAAATCATAACCCAATTACAAGACACCCTTCTTTAATTTGAAAAAGCAAACCTGGATGCTCTCCAAGATTTCTCATTTTAACTTACCTGGAACATTGTTTTAAATGGGAGCCCTATGTATTTACTGGTCGGCAACCCAATTTTTTTTTTCTCCACAGGAATCTTTGGATGCATACATTAATGGTATAATTATGGAAAAAAAAATATTCTGAATAAGAAGCCTAGTGTTTATGAAAGCAGTGTTGGATACTTCAGCTAAATTGGTCCTTTACAGGGAAAAATAAATGCTGAAGCACTAAAGGCATTAAATACGTATTCTAATCAATCTGTCTAAAAAAATAAATCATTGCTATCACTGTCACAAAATAGCATGGGAGGGTGGAATCTGGTTTCCTGATTTGGTTCCCCAGCATGTTAAATCATAACTAGGCATGTGTGATTCAATACAGCAGAGTGATTTCCTGATTTGTTTTTAATTGCCAGTATACACAGACTGCATTTTCAGCATGAGTTATTTTAGATGAAAGAAAATGAGAACAATAACAAAGCCTTCACAAGAAAATAGTTTTCTGAAACATATCATATTGACTCTGTTGCAAAATGGAAGCTGCCTTTACAGAAAGCCAGTTTCAAGAAATGACATGATGCCCAGGAAAGCAAAGGAACTGCCTAAGAAAGATCAAGAAAGGATTCAAGCATGTCTAACTTCAGTGGGATTTAAATATATGCTTTGTTTCAGCACATACTTAAAAGTCTTCATAAATTAGGAGTTTGTTTTATATATAAATATATATGTTACATATATTTATTAATCATTATTAATTCATTGTAGTGGAATCATGAATAATAGAACCACATGTAACATACACCTAACATGGCTCCCACTACATGTTTATACAAAAGTTTTATTCTGTATTTGCCCTATGGCTGACGGTAGCATGTTAGGAGGGGAACTGGCATTTGTTCATTCTCAGCTCTTCCTCTGTATTAAAAGATTCACATTCTACTGTAACATTTTCATTTACATCCCCTTCAGGCCAATAAAAAGCATAATCATTTTCCTCCCCAGTAACTGCATGGCCATCAGCTTTAATTTCAGCACACTTTTCTCTTCCTAAACCTTTTCGTCTGGTGACAGCTGGTCAATATATTTCTTCATTATGCCCCTTTTTCTAAAAGCAGCTATGCCATGCTCCCAGTAATATACCTTCTTGACAACACCTTTGTCCTTATTGTTTCATCCCTTGCAATTTTACACACATCCTTCTGATGGATGCAGAATGTCTGGGAGGCCTATGTTACAGATTCTATTTCCTCTACTGTGTTCATGCAGTTCCTGTGCAAAATAAATCATATCTGTAATAAATCATAAAGTCCAGAAAGACTTCAGTTAAAGGTACTGGAATGGTGAGATTCGATACAGAGTTTGTATCTGCAAATAAAATTCTACTTTATTTTCTCCAGTACCTTTTCAAATGTATGCACACTGTATGCGTATATCCATTTCATCCTGGGAGACAAGCAGCAGTTCTTAACATGTTTTAGTGAATGTATCTGAAATTGTCTCTAAACAATTGTGGGCTGTTATCAAACAATTTCTTCAGATAATCCAAAACCAACCAATAGCACTCCATGAGTTTTTGATATTCTAGCCAGTCAACAAAGGTTTCTGCTGTTTGGAACACCTGGGATAAGCACCACTTATAGCTAACTACATGACTGATTAATCATCTCTGCAAATTCCAGATGTAACCTTTGTC